TGGATTGAAAATCAACTTCAAGTTTGAATTGCAATCCTATCTTTTTGCAGACGTCCGTGTCGAATTGTGCCCACCCATATCATTGCCTATTATTAAATATTTTGACTGCAACAGATTCCAGTCTTGCCAGTTAATGTTCCGCGGCCTTATCTAGTAAAATATCTAAATGTGAAACAGATTCGTCAGACTTCTTGTTGCATACAGTGGGATAATCTGTAAAAATCAACACTTCAGTCTACAAATCAATTTAAGAGTTACATTAATAAGTTTGATTTTTTTCTTTGACTATTTCCCTTATTTCGATGTCTCCCAAATTATTCGGTACTCAAGAGCATGTTCTGAGTACGATCAATTTTTAAACCTAGATAGGCTACTGACAGATAAGTTGATGTTACAGGGATTTCAACAACCTCGTTAACAACACAATTGTTTTTAATTCTAATTTTTACTACGAAATATTTCGTCTAATTAAACAATACCTAATGCTCATGGCGAATGTGACCAGACAACAGGGTATGCTTATATGCACTTCTCCTTGGCACATGCTCCCACCTCTTGAATTTCCGGGGGTCCGTGTTTTGCGTCCTGTTTACAGATACGTATTATTTTCATTTTTTTAGACCCATTTAATTTTGTATCTTTATCATCTTCATTTAAGCTACTTGGTCTTTGCTATCAAAGCAGTTGTCCCCAGAATATATTTTTTCTTTATTATCACATTAATTAAAAAACTACTAGTATATTGTGGCCAAAAAAAAAAAAAAAAAAAAAAAAAAAAAAAAAAAAAAAAAAAAAAAATATATATATATATATATATATATATATATATATATATATATATATATATAGGATCTCCCATGATTTGTAGTTGGATATGATTTTTATCCAACGAGTTGTGTGTTTTTTATCCCCGAGCCTTGGCGAGGGGATAAAAACACACAACGAGTTGGATAAAAGTCATATCCAACTACAAATCATGGGAGATTCTTTTTATCCCATGTTTAATACTTCACAACCAATGTTTTACACTGTTTTATATAGGACTCCACTTTATTTTACTTCATCGCGCTAACGCAAAAACCATTGTGACGTCACAACTGTGGATTATGAAAAAATTATCCAATGAGTCATATCCACGGGATAAAGGGGTAAACATGGGATAATATATATATATATATATATATATATATATATATATATATATATATATATATATATATATATATATATATATATATATATATATATATATATATATAATCTGCTTACACAAGCATTCAATATTTAGAAGTGTTTTTCCTCCGTGTCAAACAAAGAAAAAAATTCCACAGAATAGAATTTTCATCTATAGCTATACAAATTTAAAGCAGAAGAGAGTGAAATGAGAATGTCAGTTATAATTATTATTTCAAAAGTGAACATCTACAAAAGATATACACTAAAAACTCTACAAACAATTTAATAAATTAACTCTCTATCTGAACATGCAACAAAAGTCTAGAATAAATTATTTATTTTTCTTAACCATTATTAAATTCAAAAAAGAAGTCTCTGTTGAGACAGTAACTCTATTAACCTTAACTTCAGTACAAACCTGTAGTTAAAACAAAGGAGGAGAAAAGTAGCACTTGAACTTGAAACTATAGAACAGCAATAAATAGAATAATGATTCTTGCTTTAGTTTCTTTTTGTGGCAAGATATCTTTCATCAGACTATTATATTAGAATCAGACCAAAACTGTAGGAGGAGTAGCATTTTGAAAGTATTTCACAGAAATTTCTATTTTTAGTAGCCATGGCTACATCATTCATTGAAATCAAAAGCCGATGTACAGAATTATGTATCCTAGTGTAGTCTACTTGTGTGCCAAGTTATATTGAAATCAGACAAGTAACGTTTTTAAAACTTGTTTACAGACGGACGGACGGACAGCTAGACAGACAGACAAACAGACGGACGATGGACACCTTACTATCGCATAAGCTCTTCTTGTCCATGACCTATAGAGCTAATAAGAGAAATGAACATCTACCTTTCTTGAAAGATTAGGCACGGAACGCTTTTCAAATTCTGTGTTTGAAGAGAATTGTTACATGACAAATTAACGAATAAATATTCTTCTTTAACTATGTTCAAATTCAAGTTATAGAAAATATAAATAATTCAATATTTTCATGTTGAAGAAAAATTTCCATAGAAACATATATCTGAGAATAAAACGGGCACAAAATAAATTAGAATTTCTACGTCCTTTCACCACAAGCGTGCATGTCTTTGGGAATCAAATCGTTGGATTATTGTCCGCGTACCACGGTTTTACTCACATAAATGTTCGTGTAAATTAAGTACAACTTGAAATTTAAACGCGTACCTTTGTCATTATCACAGAGATGTTTACTTAACCATCATTACAGAGATATTAACTGACTCATTATCACGCAGATGTTTACTTAATCATTATCATAGAGATGTTTACGTAATCATCATAGAGATGCTTACTTAATCATTATCACAGAGATGTTTACTTAATCATTTTCAAAGAGATGTTTATCATTATCACAAATATGTTTAACTTAATCATTGTCACAGAGATGTTTACTTAATCATAAACTTCGAGATTTGTACTTAATTATTTCATGGAGATACTAAATCAATTATTTTCATAGATATATTTAATTAATCATTATCAAAGAGATATTTTCTTAATCATTATCATAAAGATGTTTTGTGATCATCTCTTAACATCTAAGTACAACTCTATATCAAAACATCCATATAACGTATGTTATGTTATATTCGTATTTTATGAACAAATGTAGAAATGCACTTATTCGTAGTTAGTTTGAAGAGATAAAAAAGAAACCCAGTTCTACTTTTAACTGCCCCAAAACAGTCATAACCCATGTTATGAGACAAGAATTTCTATTTAAAAATATCTATGCTTAACTTGATATTTTGATGGGGTTTTTTTTTTTCAGAAAATTAGATTGTGTTGCATAAATTCCACTATCAAATACAATATCAGCCACAACTTGATTTTTTTTTAAATTATCAAAAATCTGTTGAAATTCGACAGATAACGAAGTGTTGAAAGCATTGGTTTTCATAAAAAAAAAAATACGTTTCTTAGGCTAATGTTATTACGGACTTTGTAATGATTAATATGAATTAACTGAACAGTTTTAAATCTAAGTGACATTTAAATAAGCTAATGAATTCATTTTTTTCTTGAAATGTAAACTAAATTATTGGTGATGTAAAACTTGTACTTAATGAATCCACATAATAAATACAAATTAAAAACAATTTACAAACCATTACATTGGAACCAGATGAAACCTTGTATGTCTTACATAAAAAAACTATAAATTTTCTTTGAAATCCAAATTGATTGTTTACACCAAGGAAGAAAAAGTATGAAATACGGAAATTCAGAATACATGTGCATCAATTAAGGCGACTTTAATTATCTTTGAAGTCTTTTGAGCAACCTTGCAGGCAATTTACAGTCTGCGCTTCTTTGATAAATGGACTCTAATTTATAAGAGCTGCTTTTGGTTTCTTAAACATAGATAAGGAACCTAAGCTAAAGGTAAGTCGTGTTATTCTCTGAATACATGTTTCTGTGTTTCTCTCTCCACTAATAATACTGTGATCCTCTTCATTTTGATGACCAGATAACACAATCCTATTCGATAACACAAATGTGTCCATTAAAAATAAATGTTCATGTAATTCACAAATAGTTATAAAGCAACATTAGAATTCTGATAGATACTTTCTATCAATTTTTTTGAACAAGAAAAGCTATTGACAAACAGTCTCATTTAAATTCAACATTTCGCAAATAAGTTTGTTTTTCTTCGTATAACAGACAAATAAAAAATTAAATTTTGACGTTATCATTTCTATCTGTATCTATAACTGGGTGAGAGAAAAAATATCGAGTACCATTGATGCTTACGTCGCATAAATAGAAGGGCAAAGAAATAACCTTTGGCATTGTTTCAGTCGCATTACTTTAAAAAGGAATCTATTCTGTGTTTACTGATTTATTAAGGAATGTTTTTAAGCTTTGTGTGAGTTATTGGTGTGTCGCACTAGCGCTTCATGAAAAATATGCTTACGTGCAAGTCTGTGTAATTTACACACCAATAACTCACACAAAACTTCAAAACACTCCTTATATTTACATTTTACGTGCTCAAAGGCACCAAAAATATACTCAATGTTTGAATTATTCGCTGCCCGATATTGTTATATTTTTACTAACGTCTCTGTAGCTTATTGTGACGTCACTTTAGCGCGAGTTTCTCCGTGCATATTTCTACGCCTGAGTATGCACGAAAATGGCATTCAAATCAATTTCACAGTCGGCTTATTAGAAAAATACAGCAAATGTAAATAATGAAGTTTAATGATACTATAACAATTGATGCCTGAATTGATATATATATTTTGAACCTATTTTGGTTAAAAATGATGCAAATATCAAATTTTTGAAATAATGAAAAAAAAACTGTAAACTTTCTATTATGTTTAAAAGTCTACCTTTTTGAGATTACCCTAATAATACTTTAAAATTTTCGTTCCCTTTATTCCCTTCACAAGTAATTGTGAAACTCGGAATGAAAAATTAAAATTTATTTGGTAAAGCTTACTCATTTCACTTATATAAACAAGACTTTATTTGTTATTTTTATGACTTTTGAAAAAGTTTTTTGCTTGTATCATCTATTCCTTGGTAAAAGAATATATTCATAGTGGCTTAGAAATGAAATAAATAATATTTCATGTCATTATTATATCATTATTATCAGCGTTTTAAGTGCTTGAAAATTTATCTTTATTATACATCAAGCTATTCGAATTCATCATTGGCTTTAAAAAGGTTGCAATATTCATAAATGACAAGTATACCTTACTTTAATGAATTTATAAAGAAAAACAATGTCCTACAATAAATATCAATATTTTATTATCTTTTCATTTTAGAGACCAATCATTCTAAAGTGAAATCTACCAATATGCTCAAATTTCTGGCAGCAATTGTCCTGGCAACTCTAATTCAGATTTCATCGTCACAAGATCCGACGTTAGACACTCCCCTTCCTCCGACAGTCCCTCCAACTTTCGACTCTACCATCGAACCTCCTGCCCTTGACTCTCGTCCTCCTACAGGATCTTCTCCATTCGACTCCCTTCCACCAACAGAACCTCCTCAACTTGACCGTCTACCACCCACGGAGCCTCCTCAACTCGACCGTCTGCCACCAACAGAACCTCCTCAATTCGACTCACTAGCACCAACAGAACCTCCTCAATTCGACTCACTACCACCAACAGAACCTCCTCAATTCGACCGCCTGCCCCCCACGGAGCCTCCTCAATTCAACCGTCTACCACCCGCGGAGCCTCCTCAATTCGACCGTCTACCACCAACAGAACCTCCTCAATTCGATCGACTCCCACCCACGGAGCCTCCTCAATTCGACCGTCTACTACCCGGAGAACCCCGTCAATTCGACCCTCCACCCTCTTCAAGACTTCCTCTTTTTGACTCTCCACTTCCTGCAAGACCTCGTACACTAAACTCTCCTCTTCCTCCCATGGGCTCTACTTCTCTCGATTCGGCTCCTCCTGCCGTTCCCTCTTCCTTAGACAATTATGGCGGGAATGTTTCCAATTACAGTATCATGTACACCAAAAACCTGCAGGACATAATGCAGAGGTTTAAAATCTCAGTGGCGGAAATGGAGGCGATGTTGGAAACTTACATAGATGGCGGGAATCCAACAATTACAAAGACCGTGTATAACCCTGATACCGGCACAAACGAGGTCAGTCTCTCTCTCTCTCTCCATTCTTTTATGCTGATGCATATTTATATTCATTATTTTATATAAGTATTATATGATTCAGTTACAAACTCCCATAGCAAACACAGGTAAAGCAATCATGTTATTTCGTTTTGATCATGGAGACTACTCACATACCAAAAACTATATTTTATTTAAAAAATACAAAACGGTTAGAGATGTAATACCTTTTACAGAATTATATGTGCACTACAGTAAAACACTGAGAAAAAAAAAAACAATCCTCCTGTTAATATATTTTTTTAATGAAAGAGAATCCCAAAATATGAAATAAAAACAAACGAGTTTTAAACTTTGAAGCAATAATTGAAAAGAAATTTTAAAGTGTGGATATCTTATGCATTTTATTGAGAGAAAACAATCTTCTGACTCTGTTTTTAGCATGTATTCTTTATCATGATTACAGACCGTGACACTTGATTTCAAGAGCATTGCTGAAGGTGAAGGGTTTCCAACTGAAGCCCTACAAAGGCCAAGACCGTCTGCTCGATCCGAAGCCCCACGAACCACTGATAATGTCTTGAATTCAGGTCCTGTTGGTTTGAACACAGTGCAACCCACAGAAACAATGCCTAACACAGTTTCTTCACCAATGTCTGAATTTCTGAGGAATCCAACTCCGGTGGTAGGGAACGCTATATCACGTGATTCCAGAGATCTAGATCTCACTGCGTTCAGAGAACAAGAAGCACAACTTATCGATGACCTGAAACTACTGATTCGTCGTCGAGAGGCATTAGATGAAAGTTTTTCCAGAGGAGAGTTAACTGATGAGAATTATCGAATTTCCCTAGAAAACACCGATATACAAATACGTGATAATTACGCAGTTTTGAAACAGATTCAAGACGCCATACGCGAATATCTTGGAATTGGAACCCCACAAGCGTTCAGTCAACAACCCCCAATGGTGACACCAGAGGCAACTCCAATAGAAGATTTTAGGGGTCCAGATTCAAGCGGCGGTCAACCATTGACTCCAGATGAAGAGCTGGTATTTATTCAGTCAGAAATCGATAGGTTAAAAGAAGCCAACGCTGGACTTTTGCGCAGACTTCAAAGTCTACAGATGCCAAATATTGACAGTGCTGCTCCTGCAACAATGAATGATATGCCTCTAAATCCAACAGTAGGTGGGTCAAGTCTTGATGCTATGAATTTTATGGATTCCATGGATGGAGCAATACCATCACCATCACCTGCACCAGCCATTTCAGATTTAGATACCTTTGTTAGACCTTCGCGTCCAATCCAAGGCACTGGTTTTCCAGACACATCGACTGATCCAATCATCGGTAATCGGATAGACGGAATTATTCCAGGTGAGGAAAGTAATGTTATTCCAAGAACACAGATTCGTAATAACATTGAAAATCTTTTGAATGAGTACAATCGATTGAGTCAAAGGGAAGATGCAATACTGCGCATTCTAAATCAAAATGGCCAAGTGTCTGATAACTTTCCACAAGACATGGTGGGGCTAACACAAGCTACAACAAGACCTGTTGATGATTTAGGGGCAGAAATGGAAAGAGTACGTGAAAACATTAGGCGTAATGCAGTGGACACTCAAAATGAAATTTTTCCTATTGAATCACAAATGCGTGCTGCAAGAAGAGATTCAGGTCGTATAGCCACCCTAGAAGCACCGTCCAGTGAAATTGATGTGAGTACTGTGGGACCTCAGGACCCAGGAGTGGAGAGGAATTCCTTTCCCGAAATTTTGCCTTCAGTCCAAGACACTGGTTTTCCACAAACGTCTAGTATTCCAGTCGCTAATGATGGGATAAACGAAGTTATTCCAGGTGAGGGAAGAAACATTATTCAAAGAGCACAGATTCGTAATAATATCGAAAATCTTTTGAATGAGTATAATCGATTGAGCCAGAGAGAGGGGGAAATTTTACGCACTCTAAATCAAAATGGACAGGACGTGGTTGGACAAACGAGAGCTAGTCCTGTTGATGATCTTCAGAGAGAGATGAACCTGGCTCGTGAAAACCTCATAAATAGTCCACTAGATAATACAAATGACATGCTTCCTATTGAGCCACAAGGGAGTGCAAGAAGAGTTTCGGGTCGCATAGCGACTCCAAGAACATTGTCTATTGAACCTGATTTCGCTGCTGCTGAATCTCAAATCCCAACAGGTACATCGTTAGGAACAGGAAATATGAGGTCACAATTCCCTGAGACAATGAACATATTAACAGAAGATACAAGGTCTCAATTCCCAGCATTAGATAGAATAAACATTGTGGATGATATTGTTACACGCCGGCCTGTCTTAGACACTGACGCAAGCAGAATAGGAGAGTCGTTTGTGAGTCCAAGGGTTCCAGCTCAAACATTGGATGAAATCTCGGTCTTGGGCACCGATCGTGTGCAACCCATTGTGGACCGAGGAGGAGAAATCTTACCCGATTCACAAACATTAAGTAGAAGTGCACAGGGTGAAAGTCTAATTTACAACGACGGTGATATAACCATGTCCGCCGTTCAACCCGTTGGTTCTCTAGAAGGTGATACTACTGTACCTATCGGACCAGTAGTTCCAATTAGCGGGTTTTCGTCCGAAGCTTCTGGTCTCCTGCTACCAAGAAATGATGCTATGTCGCTTCAAAGCAGACAAGTTCGATTCTTTAGTCAAAGGCCCACAACCATGGACACGACAAGTAGATATTTTCTTCAAAATGGCGGACGACGACAACTTCGTTATTTGGGTGGCAGAACAACATTGAGACAACCTTTACGATTAATATAATGTATGCAATGCTGTGTTAAGCAATCTATGACGGTCCTTATAACACCTGGGTATGTCGTATTCAATTAATGTCTTCCAACCTTTTTTTCTTCCTGAGATTATCATAAACATGCTAGTAAAGCGTTGTGTACATGGAAGTTATAAATGGAGATAAATATTACTACATTAGTGATGAAATTTGAATATTTGTTTAACGCATTTAATATGATAATCATATGATGGAATGTTAGTGAAAGTACTAAGTCTTCATTTTAAAACCTTTAAAATGACTTAAAATCATATATCTATTACTGTTCAACATTCTTATTTAAAGCAAGTATCTTAGATGAGGGGCAATTTATTGCATGGATAAAGATTAGGAGTGGGATTGGGATTGGGATAAGGATGAAGAATGGAATAGGAATAGGATTAGGAGTGATTTCTTTATTTTTGTACCTCCATTCTAATTTTTCTTCAATGTATATACATTTAGGCGATCGAAATGTAGTATTTTAAATATTGTTTTTTTTAAAATGTTGTTTATTGTGTGAAATAAATATATCTGAAGAAGCATTCTTGTTTTTCAGTATTTTTAACATTCAGTAATTCTTGTAAATTGATTTCAAAATCAGAGGTTGAAAGGGTCCAATGTTTTTACTCTCTCTCTCTCTCTCTCTCTCTCTCTCTCTCTCTCTCTCTCTCTCTAAATGCTTTTAACATATATTTTAAGAGTAAAAAACTGTAGATCACGTAGCATGTTAAATAACAATATAAAAAATAGAACTAACAATTTTTTTTATCAAATGTGCACATGTAAAAAAGAAAAAGGATGGGGGAATATAGTAGCACAATTGTGTGTTTGTGTGTGTGTGTGTGGGGGGGGGGGGTTTAGTATGTCCGTCTGTACGTAATGGAAGTGACGTAATTTACATGGGGATCGAATGCTGCCTTGATTCATCTATATGTATATTTTAATTTATTCTTCTCTTGTGTCATCTCGTATTCCAGTCACAAAAATAAAATTAAACGAGGGTATTATAAAACATAACATACAGCAGTTTGCCTTTTTCCAAGTGTAACTATTGAAAGTTTTGTCAACATCACTATGAGCCGCAGCAGCGGCCGATCTATTTGTGATTGTGTTAGAAAGAGAACATGGGGAAATGAGATGTTATTTTTTCATTATTAGTTGGGTAAAATAATTCATTAATGATACAAATATAAAGATTATGAGTAAAATGTTTTTAAAACTTGCTTTAAACTTAGTTTTTTTACTGTAGTTATTATGTTTAAATTTTATTTTCTATTCTTATCAAATAATTATTAATTTATGATTTTATCAAAAGGGTTTACAATAGGTACTCCGGCCCAGACATGGGAGTGTATAAGATATGAACGCAAATCATTATGATTTTCCGGATAATAATTGCAGTGGCAAAAGTGATGAATAATAAGTATGTAAAATTGAAAAGTTGATAGAACTAGTAAAAATTGCTTTGAATAATCATGCTAATTGAAGACTGGAAGTCTGGAAAAAAAATGTTAAGTCTTTCATTCTTTGAAAATCTTATGCTTTTCTTGGACGCTTAAGACAGTACCTTTTAAAAATGTTTAGATTTGGTTGCTGCCGATTTGATGCTTTGCATCAATTTTACTTGTTCACTGTATGTAGATACGTATTACCTTCGTACACTGAAGTCGATAAATACAGGTTTACGTTTCCGCAATTATTCGCAGAAATATTTATAAATTCACTGGTCATGAAGAATTGTTTTTTTTTTGTCTGTAATCAATAACAAAATCTGAAAATCAACATGTACTGTGTGTGAACGCGGGGGGGGGGGGGGGGGGGTGTTAAGTGAATAAGTGCCTGTGTGTAACGGAAGCTAGGCATGTAATAATTTATATCAGGATAGATATGCATTCTTGCGAGAGGATGCTCCGCTTTGCGGTGCCCTTGTTAAATTTAAATTTTAAATGTAAAGATACATTTCCACGAAGAAATATTTAATGTAAGAAAAGATAGACTTTAAAATATTACATTGCAGAAGCAAAATGATGTTATTTAAATTTACTTTTGCAATTCCAAAATATGAATGTCCTGTAAAGTTATTTGATATACATATTTTATCTGCGACCCAATACTCAAATTCATTTTAAAGATTTTATACTCATACTAGCAAAATTCTCACAAGACATAAGTTTTATTTATACGCTTAATATATCTCTATACATGTAAGTAGCAAGTAAGTACCGGGGTAAGTAAGAAAATTATTTATTTATAGTGACGTGTGTACATAATTAAATTCTTTTGTTTACAAACTGTATAAAATAACAATCAACACCCTGCCCATCGGGCCTATATGCCACTTTAAACACAAAATTGAAATACAATATATAAAGAAAATAAATAGCACAACGTTAAGAGATAAACAAAAAAGTAAATAAAGATAACATGTATTTACAATATTTTTATGTCGAAGGAAGGGTCAATTTAGTCATTAACCACAAATCTCCCTTAGCAAAGGGATTGGTTTATGATTTAAAAATCAAAATCAAACATCTCATAATTTATTTTGTTTGATCTGAGAGAATAAAATATCGAACAGTCTTAATTTCAATACTTTAATTACTCGGAAACATTAAATTTGATGTAATTGATCATACGTAACAATTCTACATATTCACGTGAACTATTATTGATGATACAAATTATGTATTCTGTATAATGATTGATGAAGACCACAGCGTGCTTCCCAATAACTCTATACTTTAGATGAGCTCCTATAAATATGCAGACACCTGAATGTCATAATTCACCACAAAGCCTTTTTTTTTTGGTTATGATATGTTTATAATTGTATAATATAGGGGAATCTTTTGAAGTGAAGTTTTTTACAAAGCAGAAAGAGAGAGACCTACACACCAAGTGTGTTATCATTTTATATTAGTGAGTTGTCATTAGATGTAAGTATACGTGTATATACATATATTTCATGTTGAAATTAATATGTATTCTAATATGAAAATGTATACAGGAATTTGACATGGATTCCTTAAATTGATCCTTGCTCCTATTCTGTAGCATTAAAGAAAATACTTTTATTTCATCCATTTCATTGAAGCTTCATAATTTGAAAAAATATATATTTTCTCTGGTATTCTATAGAGATTTTTTGAAATAATAATCATAGTATCAAAAAGTTTATGCTTCAATTTGCTAAAAAAAATAATAATTGTAAAATGGAACATAATAATTTCTATTATAATTTTTTAAATTTACTATGAAAGCCTTTTCTCTTTATAACTTTTGTATTTGGTTTTTATTTTGTCATTGAATTATTTGATATTTTATTTGTTTAAGTATTCCATTTTTAAATTCTAATACATATATCGTAGTCGAAAATATTTTTATCTAGACCAAAAGCACTAACAGTCGTGAAAGGAGGGAAGGCCTTATTCTGACCAATTAATTAAAAATTTTAAAAAAATGAAAATGTTAAGAAGGAAATCAAACCAGTTAATATCGCCATGGCATTTTACAACCTTAGTATTCAGTAACAGTTTGCTTATTTTTATCTAGCAAATGTTTTTATATCTAAACTATTTGATAGATTTCTCACTTTGCATATTTTCAATTTTTGTTAGGTGTGCCTAATTTTTCCCTTAATTCTAATGCGTTTCAACTGAAATTAAAATTTGTTACTAACTGAAACATGTCTTTAAAATGTCATGATGCGTAATATAAAATCAAGATTTTGTCAATACTCCCAAATATATAATTATGCTAACCAAATGTAAGGTTTCTCACTACTGAAGCTAGGAGCCTGTCTCTTTGTATTCTATTCTTAAGGTAAATTCTTTGCTCTTATTTTTATAAATGTCTCAAATAAAATGGTAAAACTTAATCTATTCCTGCAACAAATCATCGTATGTAACTATAACTTAACAGTATTGAACTTGTGATCTCTAAATTGTTACTGGTTATATGTAAAAAAAATAAAATAAAATAAAATAAAATAAAATAAAAATTATAAAATGATTCTTTTAGTCATGTTTTCCCGTCTTGTATGTAACAATAACTTTACTGAATGATATATTTGTTGCTGCTTGGATGTAACTATAAATTAAGAGAATTATGCGTATATTCGTCTCTTTGTGGCTGCTAGTATGTAACAATTACTTTACAGAATGATGCGTATGTTTTTCTCTTTATTTTTGTATGTTAACATCACTTTTCAGAATAAAGAGTGTTGTCATCCATTTAATTGTTGATGGTTGTAAGTAACATAATTTTACAAAGTGAAGCTTGTAATTATCTATCTGTTGCTGCTTTCCTCTCAGAATGATGCTTTTGTTGTTCTATTTGTTGTTTATTTTACAGAATGATGCGTTTGTTGGTCTCTCTGCTGCTTGCATGACAGAATGATGCGTTTGTTGATTTCGTTGTTGTTTATCTTACAGAATGATGCGTTTGTTGATTTCTTTGTTGCTGTTTATTTACAGAATGATGCGTTTGTTGGTCTATTTGTTGTTTATTTTACAGAATGATGCGTTTGTTGGTCTCTCTGCTGCTTGCATGACAGAATGATGCGTTTACTGATTTCGTTGTTGTTTATCTTACAGAATGATGCGTTTGTTGATTTCTTTGTTGCTGTTTATTCACAGAATGATGCGTTTGTTGATTTTGTTACTGCTTATCTTATAGAATGATGCGTTTGCTGATTTCTTTGTTGCTGTTTATTTTACAGAATGATGCGTTTGTTGGTCTCTTTGTTGCTGCTTGCATTAGAGAATGATGCGTTTGTTGATTTCTTTGTTGCTGCTTTTCTTACAGAATGATGCGTTTGTTGGTCTCTCTGCTGCTTGTATGCACACTGAGGAAAGGAACAGCTGATCATGTCAACAAAGACCCACCCCCGGGGGCCTCCGCGGACCCACAACTACAGATTATTTACAATGATAGGTTGAGAGAAGTGATGAAGCGATTTAACATCACGGAGGCAGACATGAATATAATGTTGTCAAATTTCGTAGAGGGCGGGAAGTCTCCAACTATAACAAAGAGCGTCCTGAATTCTAACACCGGCCTCCAAGAAGTAAGAAACTAATGACTACACTAGGGAAAGTACATGTACTTACTTCTACATACTGGTATTTCTTCTTTTCCTGCAGCTCTGTGAATCAAATGTTAAAAAGAAATTTTGTTAATCTGGATGATTCAGAAATATGGTTGAAATAAATTGTCTTTAATAGCAGGCGTTGGAGTGACGTACGTACTATGTACACATTCATGGTCGTCATCATTAGCACAACCATTGGTTCTTAAAGGGACTTAAACGTGGTCATTAACAGAAACAACCTAACAAAAATTTACTATCGTTAACTATAGTAAATATACTTTGATACTTTGATTTACTAAAGTTTACTGTGGAACTTTTTATAAAGATTTAGAGCCTATTTATTTCTCTAACTACGTACCAATGATGTGAATTTTTAGCTCTACTGGTCAGAGACCAAAAGAGCTTATGCGATAGTAAGGCGTCCGTCCTTCCGTCCGTCTGTCTGTCTGTAAACAATTTTTCAAAACACTACTTTACCTACAGTTTTGGTCCGATTTCAATATAACTTGACACACAAGTAGACTACACTAAGATACATAATTTAATGCATAGGTTTTTGATTTGATGAACGGTGTTGCCATGGTTACTAAAATAGAAATTTCTGTGAAAAACTTTCAAAATGCTACTCCTCCAACAGTTTTAATCTGATTGCAGTAAATCTTGCCACAAAGAGACTAAACCAAGGACCATTATTATAATATTTATTGCTGTTGCAAAGTTTCAAGTGCAAGTGCTACTTTTATCTTCCTTTGTTACAAATACAGATTAATAGAGCTACAGTCTCGTCCGAGACTTCTGGTTAAGATAATATCAGAAAATTGCTGAAAAGATTTTAAAAAATAAAATATACCAATCTGAAAATCATAATAAAGAAACTTTGATATACTGTAAAAATTTGATTTACTTAAGCAAAAACTTTAGTTTACAATAGCTCTTTTTTGTTAGGTCACTTTGAACCAGTATATTTAATTGAAATCTATTTGAAGAGGAAGTTGCCGTTGTTTTCTTTTTACAGGTATTTCATATGAGAAAGAGTGATGAGGATTTCTTACATGTGTAAGCTTGTATATTTTAAGAAAGATTACCGGAAGTGTGTTTCGTTGTTTGTAGGTCACATTGCATCATCTTTAATTCTCACACGCTACACCTGAAATTAATAGAACCTTATTTTACAATTGTAAACACGTCACCCCCGAACTGAACTTCCCTGACAACTTATTCCTTATTCTTGTGTCTTATCTATTTGTAGACGATCACGTTGGATTTCCAAGGCTTTACAAATGAATGGCTATCACAGGGGAAACGAGACGGCACCGCCCAAGTCAACGATCGCCAACCATCAGCAAACAAACCGAGACTGGATGCACTCGATTCGGTAGATCTAGCGAGTCTTGAAGAACAACGGAAGTACCTGATCCGTTCGATTTTGACCCTTGATGCCGAGAGTACGGATCTTCAAGAGGATCTTGAATTTGGAAGAATTACTGAAAATGTATACCGAGAGAGGGCACTATCTAACAGGCGATTATACCGCGATCTAATGGAGCAGCTGCTTAAAGTAGGTGTCACTGTTTTACACGTAGCATACCTATCAAAAAACTCTCTAGAGAAAAGTTCATCATTAGATATGATTGAAACTATATCTAAAGAACTACTCAGTTAGTTGCCGAAGTCAATATGCGGATAATATATAATTAAAAGATATTTATCTCTATTAATTTTTTTTGTTGATATAATTTATTTATGAATTGTGTGATGATGCCTTAAAAGATAATCAATATTTCATAATTCAATTAATAAGTTGAATTTAAAGATGCACTTGCGCTGATTAGATGATACTCAGGCTGATTAGATGATACTCAGGCTGATTAGATGATACTCACGCTGATTATATGATACTCACGCTGATTAGATGATACTCACGCTGATTAGATGATACTCACGCTGGTTATATGATACTCACGCTTACATATACATTTTGTCAATTCAGAGTTTCCATGTTTAAAACGATCTAAATGAATACGAAACTGTGCCATTTTACAGGTTCAAAATATTCTAAACGAATACGAAACTACAGGGGAATCTTCACCTAAGGCAGCTATGGCAAGGAGAGATTCGTCACGTGTTATAGCAACAGACACTTCCGGTCCAGTTACAGAGGTAGCGTCTACGCAGCAAGTCGTTGTCGAGAGTGAGCCAATAAAAAATAACGACGCATCAGTGCAGCTAAAATTATCTGAGCTTGAAGAACTCCGTAAACAAAATGCTCTACTTAATTTGAGAATTCGTGAAGAGCAGGAAATGTTATCACCTTCAGCAAACGGAATAATACAAAGACCCCAGACGCCAATCTCGTTTTCGACAATTATACCGGAAGGACGTGTTTCTTCTGCACGGTCTCCGGAGAGCGTTCGAGAAAAGTTGCTTGCAGAATATCGAGCTTTACAAAACAGAAAACGCACAATTTATCAGCTTTTGCAACGTTATAGGAGATTACTTTAACCTAATAGAATAGTGAAATATTTTTGTATCGTTCAGATAGTGAGAGATCAATATGTTGTGAAAAATTTCTTTCAGTGTACGCTTATTTAACAAACTAATCGTGAACACTATATCTCTTTGCACACTTGATATTCAATGCTGTCTGGCGGCGCAGACAAGAAATCATGCGCATGTGCGGAACATTGCTTACTGACAGTCGCAAATTAAAACAGGATTCATGCGACAAAAGATTGGACGTCTACCACATTTCACCTATTCGGCAGAACGGTGTATGTTACATGTGTGATTATAAGAAGTCTCGATGCATTGTAATAAATATGCATGTCATCTTTGTTTGCTAACATGCACAGGATAAAAGTGCACCTTTCAGTTAACTGATTGGTCACTAAAAGGTCTGGAATGGTGACTGAAGGCGGAGCTCTGCCACTCAGTCACAATTCAGTTAACTGAATGGCAGAGTTTCATCCTGTGAAGTTCGTTATATAAAATATCTTGTTTGCATGTTGGAATAAGAATTTCCTTGAAATAACCAAACTTTAAAGTATTTGTCTTTTCAAATGACGTGTACATCTCTTCATAAAAACCGTTCACGGTAGCTCAGTAGAGCGCTCGCTCCGTGATCGGAAGGTCGTGAGTTCGAACCTCGGCCGCGACTGACCTAAGCCGATAAAAATGGGTAGCAATTGTTCTTTCGCCATGCGCTCGGCACTTTGAAGTGAAAGTTGCGGGTCCTTCGGATGAGACCTTAAAAACCGATGTCCCGTGTCACGGCAGGCGTTGGCACGATAAAGATCCCTCACTGCTCAAGAGTACATGTACCGAGTAAAGGTCAAAATTTGAAGCCCTTCACCGGTATATGGTCACGTCTCTCTATGAGTGAAAACTTCTCGAATGGGACGTTAAACAACATACAATCAATCAATCTCTTCTTTAAAAAATGAAAAATACGAAGCTTATCACATAATAAAAAGAATCTGTACCCTAAATCTAGTGATTCACATTTGATGTCATACATTTCAAAAACTAATTTATTTTAAAATTGAAGTAGAAAATGCATGTGCGTGTACTTATGAAAGGAATAAAGTAAGAGCTGCGCATGCGCTAATATCAGTCCACAGATCAATATCATTTGTCCTTAGATAGATAGATAGATTGACTGATTGCTTTACTCCCCTTGTAAGAATTTTTTAGTCATGTGCAACATCACCATAAAGCGACGAAGGACTTCAAATTTAGACCTTTACACTGCACTTAGGGCAGTGAGGTTTCTTTATCGTATCAACGCCTTCCGCGTCACGATACCTCCATTTTTATGGTCTTATCCTAAAGCCCTTGACTTTCATTTCTAATGCTGGACGGTTGGTAAAGGAACAGTCAGTCAATACGTATACCTATGTAATGCGTCATAAGTTTGACGCGGCGCCGGGGGCGAGCATATAACCCGATACCTCCTGATCACTAAGCAATCGCCCGACCATTAGGCTAGCTGACCGGTCAGTTGTACTAGATGTACATAGAGTGTATTGATTGTTCCTGTTTGCAATATTCTGTATACCCTTCTTTAGCTGAAATAAAAAAAAATATCTATATATATTTATAATCAGTGATATTTTCTTGAGGACACCTGAGGTATTTATATTTGTATCCGTATGATAATCCGTCGTTTGTTTGATTGTCAGTCATGTTTGAGTTAATTAAAAGAAATGAAATTTCTAATGAATTTTCTAATCCTCTTCCAAGTTTTATTTTGATCGCTCTTTATAAAAAAAAAAGTCGACTACAAATACATTAAAAAATTGTGTGTGTTCCTTTTACCGAATTTCGACTTGAATTAAACCGGCGAGCTGTTAATTCTTAATTTCCTGAGCCGTTAAGTTAAAAACACAATTTTCACAAACTTTTCCTGCACAAGGTTGCCAAAATGCATGACTGCGTGCTTAAAAAAAGTAGAAAGTAATTAGACCTTTGTATATTCTCATAATTCCTTAAACATGTGCTTCTTTCAATATTTAAAGTTCCCTCTATAAGTTTTATTTTTTAAAACTTAAGCAAAAATTGTTGTTACTTTTCATATTTCACAGGGAATCCCAGTTGACAATCCGGATTATCCGAAAAAAATATTTTCGCCAAAAATCCTGCTTTTCTTTGTTACATAAACAAGTCCTTTGTTGCTTTGTTTTTTTTCATTTTAAGAAAAAGTTATTACATGTATTGCAACGATAGACTAGAATTAAAAACCACAAAAAGAAGACTCATCTTAAGAATTTCCTACATTTTATGCAGATAATGCACTTTACAAATTAAACTGAGAAGAACTTATTCTAGAAAATCAAAATTTCAATAGATCAATCTTACTCCAGAGAGGTTGTAATCATTTGTTAGGGCAAATGAAATGTATGCTGATTTATTTTCTTGCATAAAATGTGCATATATATATATATATAGAGAGAGAGAGAGAGAGAGAGAAGAAAATGATAACATGTAATTCAATGTACTCTATTTAGATCAAAGGTTAAAATTTAAAGCATTTTATTCTTTTAACAAATAATTGTCACAAAAAATAATCAATCATAACGAAATATGAAACCAGAGAATGTTACTAAAAATAGCGATTTATGTCATCAACTGTGTAGCGATTCATCACTTTGAGTGGTCGATATAATACACCTTTTGTAGAAATTGGAATGTCGTAAAAACAAGTAATAACACCAAGCTTTTAACATGCTTCGTGCATTGATTGGATTTAAAAAATAAATACTACCTCCTTTCATTGAGGCAATAGGTATTGTTTCCGAGGCTTTTTTCCCCAACCTTGCCTTTGTGTGTGTGTGTGTGTGTGGGGGGGGGGGGGGGGTTAACTTGTTATGCTTATTGATCCATTTGGTTTTGTTAAAGAAATAGATACGTATTAGAAAAGACCAAATACAGATAATTAATTATACGAAGAAATAAAATTTAAAAGAAGAAAAAAGCAATAAAAAAGGAAAGGAAAGAAAAGAAAACGAATAAATAATAATAATAAGTAAAGATATGGATTAATATTCAAAAAGTATTTAAAATTTCCGAGATCTTAATTCTTTTTTAATTCAGTTTTACAAGCATGCACCATTAATCATCAGAAAAGTAATATATCATATTTTATTACATTTTCAGCAGTGAAATACTGTGATTTATTTATTGAATAAAATTGATATTCTCTTACAGTATGAAAGGATACCAAAATGATATTCTCTCACAGTGTGAAAGGATATCAAAGTAAGTAAAAAATAATTTCTGGCCTGTCATAAGATAGAGATAGTAACTAAGCATCTTGATAGAGCTAAAACTGCAAATTTCTTCCCAAATATGTTGCTAAAATCCATGCTATGTGATGTTTTCAATCACACAACTGCTAAGCTACGATCGACGTCTCAACCGCTCAACTATGACGTCAAGCCTATGACACTGTGTTAAGAAAAGACAGAGGCAAAGGGAAAATCAAAGAAAATGTAATAAACAGAAAATTCAATGTTTTGTAGATGAATATGGAATTTATTTCACTCGTGAGACAGGATTTTTTGATATTTTCACTCGTGCTTCGCACTCGTGAAAATATCAAAAAATCCTGTCCCACTCGTGAAATAAATTCCATATTCATCTACAAAACATTGAATATCCTCTATGTAAATACACATATATATATTTGACGTTTAACTGACATTTGGCATGCATCTTTAAAATTACGCAGTTTCATTATCGCCTTAATAGTACCTGAAAATTGTATTGGATGCGTGTACATGTACAATTAGTTAAATTGAATATGAAATGATTTAAGATATTTCATGAAGAAATACTTGGCTGCAGATAGCGATATGCAGCATATACATGCATTAATAATTGTATAAGTGTTTATTAGAAAATGTTATGACAAGCCTACAAGAGATAGATCTTTTTTTTTTCTCGAGTAAATAGTAAAAGGGTTAGCCATAAACATGTAGTGTCTTTACAACGCCAGATTATGTCAATCAATTTACTGTTCCTCTTTCTACTTTGTTTTTGTATACCCAATCATTGCTCAGAATATTCCTTTAACTAATGCATAATTGAAATTAAAGTATTCATTTTCATCTGTATATTTATATTCATGAACATTTTTTTCCTTAACTGAAGAAAACGACAATGACATAAGCTTCAAACGGATTTTTAATTTCATTTCTAAGCCTTTTCGAATATTTGTACGTCAAATAAGAAAATTTTACAGAAAAAAGTTGCATTTTTGTTCAAATTCAACACCGTATATTTCACAAAATTTGGTGACAGTTTGATTTTATTGGTTAAATCGTTTACAAAAATGTATTTACCAAATCACTTGTTCAGTGATCAATCAACTTGATAAACTAGCCCATTATTCACCACAAAAAAGTGTGAAATTTTTTTTAGAGATAATTCGAGAGGAAATACCTATCTTCACAAGAAGGTAGAGTTCGACATAAACAATGATACATCAGTCTTACTGTGAGTCACCGACAGGTCTGCTTTCTTTGTGTAACCGCCCCCATCCGTCAAAATTTAAAAAAAAAATCGAACAGCTGTTTTATAATTCCGTTTGTTGTTTAAATACATGTATATATAATTTTTTTAATTTGTGTCTGTTATGTGTGAAGTTTGTGTCCTTTCCGAAAATATTTGATATTTTTCATGCCAAATTTATATATGAGAATGATAAAATTTGAGGAAAAAAATATTAAATTGTTTGGAAAGGGCACTAAGATTTAAATAATAAGTGAGGAATTATCTGTATTCATAAAAAGTACATGTTTTGAAACATTTTTTTCATTTCCTACATATTAGAGGAAAAATATCCATGTAGATGTGAGCATTCCAATTTATGTATTTGAAGACGGCTGGGGGGGGGGGGGGGTCTGTTTCCGTTTATATGCTTCAACAAATTAACGATTATAATCTATTCCTTTGATAAATGGATATTTACAAAGTAAAAGAACAAAAATGAGGATTGAAAGATCTAATGCACTTTTCTTGATCACCAAAAGTGCAAGTTAAACAGAAAAATCCTGCATGTATATCAGTTTCATTACAATTTATCCGATCTTCTCTATGTTTAAGAAGACTAAACACTTAATTTGACAACCTACCTTGGCAGTGCATGCGCACGTGCGGCGTATAAAAAAAATATTAAAAATGTCTTTTTAATGAAATTCCTAACCTTGAACGTTTCTTAAGTAAAAATTGATTGATGTATATTCAGGCTTTTACGCTCTGTACGTGATAATACATTAACATTTTTTTTTCGTCTTCGTCATATTTTGTAGCTATACGGTGCTTTCTTC